AGCCAGTGAGCACTCTGTGGATTATGGGAGGACTGTTTTGCTGACCTGAGCTGTCAATCACAAAAAGTATGCAAAGACCTTTTCATTTATTCACAAGCATTCATAGTGTTTGTGCATTTACTATGTGGCACAGGACAACTCTTCTTCCAATGTGTGACAGAGAAGAAAAAACGTTGGACTCCTCTACCTTCAGTATTAATAGTCAAATATTAATCTCCACTAAACATACTGTATATGCTTAATAAATGTCTATGGAATACATGGTTTTTTAAATCTGATTTAGTGTATTGAAATATTTATTATCTTTTCATTTGAATTGCATGCACTTTTTAAATGTGACAAATAAAATTGATCCAAACTATTATCTTGTCAGAGGTAGTTTTCCTTTTTATTTTTTTTTTAGCATGTAAGTGATTTTTGTTTTAAGCTAATAAAGCTACAGCATTAAACAGTAGTTGGTTAAATAAAGTATTTTTATTACTCTTCTGAGAATGTAAATACACTTAACACTGAAATATTTAAAAATATTTCCATGATACCAAGAGGAAAGAGAAAATATGATAAAAATCTCTTAAGTATAATTAAGAAGATGTAAAACTTTTGCAAATTCCCAAACTGAGGTAAGAAAAAAACTAGTAGAATACACATCATTTGTTGTAGACCATCGCCACCTTGTGGTTTGAGAAAGAGGTCCAAAAGGGTGTGCATCTTTTAAGGTGGAATTATTTATTGTCAAAAATATCTATTTATAATTAAAATGAAACTTAATAATTGGGAAAAACACCAGTAATGAGTCCGAAAACATAATTACCTACCAAACAATTAGTACGTTGAAATGTGCCAAAAGACATTTCATTAAAAATTATGAATCAGAGTCATTTCTAAGCCTCCAATTTGACTCTGCTGTGACATCTTGCACCCGTCACTTAACTTTTTTGAGTATGGCTCAGTTCTGCATCTCTTCGACAAGGGCTCGGATTAGACAGATTACACTCCTCTCAGCTCTTCAGACACAGAGTTTGGGGGAGGCATGACAATTTTATGTTCAAATGCAACTTACAATAATTTTTCTGTCTTCAATATTTCTTGTAATATTTCAGGTATATAACCTGCTCAAAATAGATATTTTCTATCTACATTCTCCTTTATGATCAAGTAATATTTGTCTGTTATTAGTTCCGACTTTATATTCCCAAAAGCAACAGTAATGCCAAATAGCTCTCCCATTTCTAACTGGTAAATCCACTAGTATAAAAATATTAATAAAAAGCATTCCATGCTTATGAAATATACACATTAGTAGTTTCTCTAGACAAGCTTTACCCCAAAACAATTATAATTGCTCATGTGTATTACCAGATTCACTTATTTTGTAGCCACTTTGTCGAATACTTTGGTAAAGACTTCATGAGACTTATGTATAGAATATTGTGTCTGTAACATACGAATTTAGGGAAACAAACACATAAGTTATAAATAGAAATTCATACTTTAATGTGTATTTCTTTCACTTTACAATGCACATTTTTTATTCCTTCTTTAGGAGTCCCTCTGTCCATAGAAGACCAGAATGCTTTTGTAAGATTGTTGATTTTTGGTGGCACCTGTGGCTCAAAGGAGTAAAGCGCTGGCCCCATATGCTGAAGGTAGCAGGTTCAAACCCAGCCCTGCCAAAAACTGCAAAAAAAACCCATTATTGATTATGCTGGCAGTTTTGTAATGTTTTAACATGTGTTAGGTAATAGAAAAAAAAAACTGGCTAATATCTATAAATAAGAACATATAAAGACTAACATTTATATAAGCCCATATGGACTCTATAAAAAGAAAACTAGAAATATGGGGAGTAGGTATTAGGACAGCATGTGATCTTTTGGGTACTTGCTCTAATCAAGGAACAACATTTTTATAAGGATGGGAATATGAAACGTCTACAAAAACCCACATTACATTTTACTCTTGTGGTGTTGTTTCAACATTCAAATGCTTTTTAAATTTCACATTTTGGTTATAAATGCATTTATATTTATACATATAAATTTGCATAACACCACAAATGCCTGGCAAGTACTGGTCTTAAAGAAAAGAAAAAGTAAATGGGTTAAATGTTCTTCTGAGCATGGATGGAGTTTTTCAGCTTAGTAATTGGCAACTCCTACATTCATGTCTCTGCTGAAGCGATTAAAAAGGAATCATTTCCCAGAACTACAGGTGCACAACAGATTGGAGTCATTATGCAAAAGAACAGAAATCTGGAGAGAAACCCAGAGAATAAAAAAGTCATGTTCCCAGCCATCCTTTTGCCTTTAGCTCGGTGTTTTCAGCTGTTTGTATATACAACATGAAATATGAAATAAAGATTATAATGGATTTTAAGTAACTCATTCAAGATTAGAAATGTATACCTTGAATTAAACAAACTTCCAATAAAAACACACTGGCAGTAAAAATGGAATAAAGGTCAAACTTGCATCAATGTACAGTATTTAAAAAGCTAAAGTTAGGTAGAGAAAACAAGAAACTGAAATGCATTACGTGATCTTTTTTAATTGTACATTGCTGAGCTTCTGAGTTTTTCTTCCTCCTCCAAATGAAGGAAACCACATTTGTGTTCACATATCTGGTAAGTCTGTTAGCCCATAGGCCACTTCTAGTATCCAAAATCTCCATCTCAAAGCCAAACAACAGCTCCAACCGCTGGTCACCACAAATTGGCTCCTGCGGCCTCTTCTAAGTAAGAGGTTTTAAAATTTACTGATGGCTCGGTCATCGTATTTTTATGCTTCCACGGTCAGTATCTTGTGGTCTGAGGTGAGTTCCCTCATACATCCTCCCAAGTAGGTAATCTCTCTTCTTGCTAGAAAGAATGAACAGTTGAAATGACATGAAATGGGATAACAATAAAAAGCAGCGACTGGATCAGACGAGGACAAACTAACACAGGCCCGGAAACCAAACTGGGGATTAGGGATGTTGAAATGTTTGAGAAGGGACACTTAGGCAGCAGAGAGAGTAATCCTCTTGTTTTAAAGATGAAGAGGAGTTAAGCTGGCAATGCAGAAACAAACGAGCCGCTATGAATGTGACTGTTCAGTTTCAAGGAGAAATGGAATATCGAGAGACCGGGTTGCAAAGGAGAGACCAAGTGCATGAGGGTTAGGCAAAAAAAAAAAATAGTATCAAAATGTTCGATGGTGGAAACGTGGAAAGGCCAATCAAAGAGGGAAACTGCTAATGCAGATATGCTAAGCTTGGGTTAAATCTAAGCCCTGCTTCGATCGTTCAACGTTCCACGAGGTCATCTCAGTAAACCAAATTTACATTTGAGAAAACATCCGTTCCGAAGCCTGCGCAATCAGGAGTTGCTATCCCGCCCTATTCTGGAAGGAAGCGGGCCGCTTCTTTATGGCATTCTTGCTCATCTGGTGAAGAGCCTCAAGAGTGAAAAGCCGAGTATTTTTGTTTTTCAAGTAGACACTCTAGAACGCTGAGAGAAAAGGATAAAAGTGGAAAGTATTCTGAGAGAAAAGTTCGGAAGAGGGATGTGATGGAGGAGTAAAGGGGACGCTAACAGCTGGGGCCGACCGAAGCTGGGAGGATACAGGAAGGGTCAGCAAAGGGCCAAGATCGACTTGGAGGCCGGGGAGGGACGAGTGGGGGGAAGGCGGAGAGGGCGAGACCCAGCAGGGCGCGGAGGGGGGAGTCGCCGGTGTGAGCCACTCGGGTCTGCCCCAGACTTGGGAGGTCGTTCTCACCATTGTCCCTGCGGCTTTCCGCCTGTGAAGTCACTGGGAAACATTTCCTTCCCCTGGGGTCAATGAGCCCCTCCCTCTTTTTCGAGGGAAGAACTACTCCGCCTTCTCTAGGGCCCTGGAGGTAGAAAGGCTCAGCTTTCCTCGCTTTCGTAACGCAGATGCAGCCTTTTCCCTTCCTGGTGGGAAGAGGAGGGAGAGGGAAGGGAAGAAAGTCAGCAAGTCGATTTCCCCTTTGCACACTTTCTAGCCCTAGCGATTGCCGCTGGCCCCGTGTAGGAAAGGGAGGCTTTTTGGACGGTTCAGCCAGTCTGGCCTACGGCCTGCAGCTGCTGTGGGTGGAAGTACGCAGACTGGCGGGAGTTGACTTTCTCTAACGAAGAAGAGAAAGCGCAATTCCCTCCTTAGGCTCTAGGGAATTGAGCCGCGTTCCAGATCACCCATTCCGGAAATGTGAAACCGAGTCCTCACAAAGTAGCCTCTGGGGCAGGGGTTATGTGAATGGGGTGTGTGTGTGTGTGTGTGTGTGTTGGGGTTTGGGGGCGGGTGATGAGGGCCAGTGATAACGCATTTTAAAATCCAAAGCCTGAGAGATACAACCTGGCTCCCTCCCCCGGGCATGCTTTCTAGGGGAAAGCGCAGGGCCAACCAAGCTTTCCCGGGGAAAAGTTAGGGCAAGTTGAGAGCAGGCTGAGCTAAACGAGCTCATGGCAGACTGGGGAGATGGAGACGTGGGGTGGGGTATTTTCTAGAAAGGGTAGCCCTTTGTAGATTGGGAGAGGGGGCAGAGGGAGGAGGGAAGGGGACTCCGAACAACTTCGGGACAGGGAAATCTTGGAGAATGGACTCAGCTCTCCACCCAAACTTTCCCTCTTAGGAACTGCAGCTCAGCGCGGGAACCGCGCTATCGCATAAGAGGGGCAGCTGTAAGGGAGGGTTGTCCAGGGAGCCGGTAGGGGAGAAGCGCGTTGGAAGAGAGAACCTTCTCCCCAGAGCGGCCCCGGCGGTACTAAGTGCTGGTCGCGGCGCCTCTTCTGCGTCTTCCGCCCCCAGATGGACTAGCAGTGGCTAGGCGCCAGCGCGGGGCCGCCCCCTCCTCCGCCGCAGCCCACAGTGCAGAGAGCGGTTCGGCTCTGCGACTGAGCTCAGGGGGCGGTGTCTGGGATGGAAAGGCGGCCAAGAGGGAGGAGGGGAGTGTGCGCTCAGGACTGACTATAAAAGGGCGTCTCGGGCTGCCCGATTCTTGCACTCGCTGGAAAGCGGCTCCGGGCCAGGGGCCATCGCAAAGCCAGGGTGCGCAACCGGACGGAGGGCAGAGCCCTGCGCTCAGCTAGCAGCACCGCAGCCAAGGCGGAGGCCGAAGAAGGCGCCAGGCACCAATCCCCGCGTTGCCTCAGTCTTGGAAGCGCCCCAGAGCGCTTCTTGTCCCCGCAGCGGCCACTCCGCCTGAGCCCACCGCGCGGTGCCTCCAACTCTGCGTTGGAAGAAAAACTTCCCGCGCTCCGGCAGAACTGCAGCGCCTCCTAAGTGACTCCGGGCAGCTTCGACTGTAGCCGGCTCTGGGCACACTTTTAAAGAGTGATAGTAATCGTTAACTTTAACAATCCAGAGTGAAGCCAGCCAGGCTCTGCTCTCCCAACCCGAACAAAAGCTCCCTCGCTCGTGGGCTTCTGCGCGCGGTGTCTCCCAAGTCTAATGCTGCGGGCGGTCCTTGCAGGGTCCAGAAGGCGCAAGCTGGACGGCAACATGGGGAACGCGGAGTGGGCGCTACGGTCATGGAGCTCTAGGCCCGCGCCCACGCTGCTGCTGCTCGCGGCGGCCGCGGCTCTGCTCGCAGTGCCGGGCGCACGCGGGCGCCCCGCCGAGGAGGACGAAGAGCTGGTGCTGCCGGCGTTGGAGCGCGCCCCGGGACACGGGACCACCCTCCTCCGCCTGGACGCCTTTGGTGGGTGGCTGCACCTGGAACTGGAGCCGGACCGCGGCTTCCTGGCGCCTGGCTTTACACTCCAGACCGTGGGGCGCAGACCCGAGCCCGAGGCGCCGCGTTCGGACCCAGACGGCGACCTGGCGCACTGCTTCTACTCCGGCACTGTCAATGGCGACCCCAGCTCGGCCGCCGCCCTTAGTCTCTGCGAGGGCGTGCGCGGCGCTTTCTACCTGCGGGGAGAAGAGTACTTCATCCAGCCAGCGCCCGCCTCCGCCACCAAGCGCCTAGCCCCCGCCGCCGCAGGGGAGGAGCCGCCGACCGGTCCGCAGTTCCATCTCCTGCGGCGGAGGCGGCGGGGAGGCAGCGGTGCCAAGTGCGGGGTCACGGACGACGAGACCCTGCCGGCTCGGGGTGCGGGGCCGGAGGACGAGGAGCCTGGGGCGCAGTGGGTGCCGCGGGACCGGGCGCCGCTACGTGCAGGACAGCCGACAGGTAGGAGAGTAGCTCTCACTTGTCTCCATTCATCCGTCTCTCGCTTTCTCTATCCCACGCGACTTCAGAGTAGACTGTTGGCAGGCAGGAGCGTAAGTCTGCGGCCGGGACAGAGGGAAGTTTGGGTTGGTGAATTCAGCGAGAAAACCTAATTCTATTCGCCCACATAATGAATAACCAAAAAAAGGCTGGCAAATGAGCGATTTTCTACAGGGTTAAGAGAAGCGTTTTGTCCGGGAAGGGGGTTTGTAATGACTCCTTCCACCCTTAGTTGAGTGTGAGCGTGTGCGACTTAGTTCCATCCTATTTATTTCTTTTTAACTATTTGGCGTGTTCTTTGGCGGGTTGTAACGTTACTGTGAGCTTTGTAACCGTTGCCGGTGCGGACACCCTGCGCTCATAGGAGGGCGCGGGTGGAGAGGGCGGAGGAGCGACCGTGACCTCAAAGCCCGCAAGCCTGGGCAGCTGCGCTATGATCTCTGTTCTGCAGGTTTCTGTCCCCTTCCCCCTTAAAAGGCTGACCCGGACGGG